GGTAGACTTGTGAAGTTTTTATTTCTCTTTCATGACCACTTCAATATTCCATTTCCTCAGTATTGGCCGTAGTTTTTGAGTTAGTTCGCAGGAAGGTATGCATATCAACTTTTGTGAATCCTTCGTCGTCCTTACTGTCCTTTCATAGTCCCCGTTCTGCCATCGGCTTTTCATGGCCGGTATGGTTCTTTGTATCACTTCGATTGGCTAGCCGTTGCCTTGCAATATCCTCGTCAATTTGTCCAGCTCCTCGTTCCAGAATTCTACATCCATTAGGCGTAGGCTTCGGATGATCTTGCTCCTCCGCAAGTGGGATGAGGCCGAACTAGATTTGCTACGAAAAGGCACACATTTTGACGAGTGGAATGTAAACAAGTGAGAAGTTGTGATAGGATGGGAGTTGGATAAGAGGGTAAAAAGGAAATAGATGAGCCAGGACAGAAAGAGGAGTGGTAGTGTAACCGTTTTCGGCAGAACGGTTGTCGAGGGATTGACTTCACTTGTCTCTTTTACGAGTTTGTAGCTTGTAGCGGAGAATGGCGAAACGTTTGAGAATGTACCAAGTCCACTCTCGGATGCTGTGAATCATGACAACTACTATAGCAGACGACTTCGGACTAGGTGCGAATCTACTAAGTCGCCCTGACAACAAGACCAAGTTGCGACAATGAGGTCAACCCACTTCTATAAATCGAAAGGAGACTGCGATCATACTAGAGGCAACAACAACTTGGTCCTCATAACTTTGAATACATCTCAGTTAACTGATTTACTATTAGTCTCAAAACTCTGCTTTGAAAACATAAAATGAGTAAAAGTGATTGTAAATTGGCTTTATCATAAACTGAAGGAAGATTGCTTTGTCAATCCAATGGTTGATTTGGGACAGTACATCCAATGCATTATATCAAAGGGTGCGATTAGGAGGAATAAGGAGGTATAGAGGTTTAGTTAGTATGTTTAATAGAAGGAACGGCTATAAGAAATCGCGTGGGACTACTTATGGCTGTTGAATATATTTAGCGTCAAACCTCTACTCTTGCTGGGAGTCATGAGCCTCACACACGAACAACACACCGGAGTAAACGAATGCAAATACACGCGAAATCATTGTATACCTGGCGAAGAAATAAATGTTCATTGTTGTGGAGACTTTCATTTCCTAGGAAAATGCAGTACGAAGGAACTTGATGGTTGACCTCGCTAGAAGCTGACGTCTGAGTCCAGTTGTCCTGCTGTAGTTTGGCTTTTATACGACACTCGGGTTAGAGCAATCCATGTCATCTCCTCCCTCTTTTCGGACAAAAGGGGCTGGGCTTTTGTTTATCATGCCACATGATGGGCATCATCAGAGCTGGGAGCAATTCTTGCAAAAGGCTCAAGTTATGGAAGAGAAGTGTGGTTTCGAAGAATCCCATAGTAGATTGATACTGGCATATCTTTCATTTCGTTTTGAGAAGGCTGGTGGAAAGGATTCGTAGATTGGACTTAGCGGATACCGAAGGATGCCTTGTAGCTTTGCCTGATGAATTATGCCGAGTAGACCTAGGCTCACCGTCCCACGAACCCGATGACTCCGTGTGAAGCTTTGGTCGGGAACTGAAGTTAAGCTTTTTTCTAATTACTTTGAGTAATGGTCGGTATTGTGCACAGACGCTAACAAACCTACACACACACACACACACACAC